CGGGCGCGTGTGTGAGCGACGCGACGCGGACGCGGACGTCACACTTCAGCCTGCTGAGTCGGCGAGTCTCTTTGTCGCTTCCGAGAGGCCGCGCATCAGCACAATTGCTCTTTTGCATTTGCTTGCCCTTTGCTAGCCCTGCCAGTCTTTTTCTTCCTCCGTTTGGTTCCGTACGCGCCGCCTCTCGCGCGTCCCTTTGGCTTTTTTGGGGGGGGGCTCGACCATCACGCCTCCATGACAACATGCCGACGTCTCTTTGCGCCTGTGTTGGAGCGCGCCTGTGTTATACGTGTGCGCAACATTGCCTTGAAACTTGCTGGCATGTGTGTGTGTGTGTGTGTGTGTGTGAGGGGGAGAGCGAGCATGTGCGCTACAGAAACAAGATTTTGCATAAAGGCAGGTTGGTACGCTTGTGCAACAAAGGCAAAATGCTGACTCTGCCCCCCCGGCTCCCCCCCGCCACCGGTGTATATAAGCCCCCCGCGCTCGGCGCCCGGGCAGCCCCCGTCAGCGGGAACCTGCGAAACTCGGGTCGCCACTTTTCTCGGTAAGAACGTTTTTGAGTCGGGGGTGGGGGGCTTCCTTTGCAGCGGTCACTTGAACGTTTGGCGCATTTCCCGCGGGAAGATGTCTCTGCCCGAGCCCTCGCCCGGCCAGCCCTGCAAGGTGAGCCGTGAGCCGGCCCGCCACCCGCGACGACGGCGACCCTCGCGCCCTTGACGCCCCGACTGAAGGCCGGCGGTTTGCGTGTGCGCAGATGACGGTGTACGACCAGGAGCACTTCCAGGGCAAGCGCGCGGAGTTCACGGCCGGCTGCCAGAACATCGCCGAGTGCGGCCTGGACAACATCCGCTCCCTCAAGGTGGAGCGCGGCGCGTACGTATGCTCCGACGCCCCGCTTCCTCGCGGAGGAGCGGGGCGCCTTTTCGGGGGTCGCGACTCGAGTCGCTCATTTTAGACGTGGGCGAGGCTTCCGCTCGCCTCAGCTGACGGCGTCGCCGCCATGTTAAGGCGCAGAGAAAAAAAAAACCAAAACAAAACGCGCAATTCATCTCGGTGCAAGTCAAGGAAAGAACACGAGTGACATGAGAAGGCGGCCTCCATATCGGAGCACGATGATAAACTCGTCGGCGGGCGGATCTCGCGCAAGAGTGGCGGGCGCCGGCCGTTCCCGTCGGTCTCGCGGCCCACGGGGAAGACGCCGACCCCGAATGCGGACGTCACGCCGCCGAGACTGCCGAACCTCCTGGCGGAGGTCGGCGTCGAATCGGCGTTAGGGGACGGAGGTGCGAGGGAACGGACGGGCCGGCGCTTCTGTCCGACGACTCGGATGCGAGGGGGGCGGGGTCGGCGCGGTTCTCTTCCGGTCCGAGGGCTCGCGACTTCTTTGCGGCTGCTCCCGAGACCGATCGGGATGGGAGGCTCTTCCGCTCCGGCGTTGGGAGCGCAGGCACAGTTGGGCCCGGGCCAAAGCAGCAGGTCACCCACAGCGTCATCGATAAGGAGCGGCTCGCGACCGGACCGGCGTTTCTGCGAGGATCTCGGCGAACGCGGACGATCCGATTGTCGACGCGGCACCGGCCCGCCGGATGTCTCGTGCCGCGTGACGGCGCCTTCTCGTCTTCGATGAGGCCCGCGGCGGGTGTGTCGTCCGCGCACTTGGGGAAAACCTTGGGGTCGTATCCATGACGACAGCCGCGGGCCGCTGAACGGCGGGCGGCTGAGGACGCCGAGGCGGCAGAGATCTTCTTGTTCAAACGTGCAAAGTGGCTTCTGTTGGCGCGCAAGTCCAGAAGCCGACCGCACCCCACCGACATTGTGTCATTTTGGGACCGGCCGGGCTAAATGACGTCGACGCGAACGGCGGTCCCGGGGACGGAGCGGTGAGCATCTCCCCCCTTGTCGCCTCCAGCTGGGCGGCCTTCGAGCACTCGAGCTTCTGCGGCCAGCAGTTTGTCCTGGAGAAAGGCGACTACCCTCGCTTCGAGGCCTACGGCGGCAGCAACGCTTACCGCGTCGAGAGGATGAGCTCCTTCAGGCCCGTCGGCTGCGCCGTAAGCTCCCGAGGGCGCCCGGCGCCGCTCGCCGCATCTTCCGCTTCTTCTTCTCCGTCCTCAGAACCACAAGGAAGCCCGCATGACCATCTACGAGAGGGAGAACATGAGCGGCGGCCACTTTGAGCTCTCCGACGACTACCCCTCCCTGCAGGCCATGGGCTGGTCCGGCAACCGGGTCGGATCCATGCGCGTCCAGAGCGGAGCGTGAGTCCTCGGCGCGCCGCCGCAGCAGACGGGACTCATCGGGACCCGCCCGTGACATCCGAGCTCGCGACGCCGTCGAGTGACGGCTTTTCACGACTCGTTGACTTACGGGTCCTCCGGCCGGTCCGCTGCCTCAACGGGTCGCCGTTACAAACGCTCAGCGACATTTACGAGCGAATTCGTTGTCGCGCGACGTACGATTCATTGATTCCCGAGTGTCTGTTCTGTTCGTTTGGTCGCATTGGAGTGGATTTATTTGATTTCTTTTTTAAATCCAATCAGATTTCAGCTTCCGTGTCGCCATGTCGGTCGAATCTGCATTCGCAATCGCTTGTTTTGACCCACGGAACGTAAACTGGCTTCAAGCGATTGGATTTGAAATGCGTCCTCACGGGGGGACGCGGTCAGCGTTTGACCGTCTTCTCGATCGGCCGTCCATAATTTGTTCCGGCCACGTTGGACTCGGCGAGCGCACCCGGAGTGACAAATGACTTATCGGCGGATCGCTTCCGCCACGAAGATGTGAGCTCCCGATGACAAAAATGTTCGCTTGTGGCGCTCGCTCTCGATGTTTTAGCTCGAGAAGCCGATCCGTTCACACGGTGCGTCACGCAAACGTATCGGTTTTGACGTTTGTCCTCCGTCAGGTTCGTGTGCTATCAGTATCCGGGCTACCGAGGTCAGCAGTACATCGTGGAGTCGGACTGCCGCGGTGGCGAGTACAAGTCCTTCCGGGAGTTCTACTCTCACGCCCAGACCCCCCAGGTTCAGGCCATGCAAAGGGGCTGGCAGGTGGTTTATAGAGCGAGGTAATGGAGATCTCTGGCAGGCATATCGTAACAGTCTCTATGTTGGTATCTGAGCTGTTGGTATGGAAGTCCCTGACGTCCAGCAGGGGCTTCACAAAAATTGCTGATCCGTACTTGGGATGACGGATCTCAGCTACCAGTTTCAACTGCCGCGGTGGCGAGTACAAGTCCTTCCGGGAGTTTGGCTCTCACGCCCAGACCCCCCAGATCCAGTCCATCAGGAGGATCCAGCACTGAGCTCATCCTCCTCCTCCTCCTCCATCTCGCCGCCTCGGGATCCCGGGGTGGACTTTGGGTCATCGGCCGCGGTGCGCAGCAGTTTTGTATTTTGATGATGAAAAAGCCACGTGAACGAGGTTCCGACGATTTCTCATCACTTTCTCCTCTGTCCTATTTCAGTACAAATAAAAACAAGCAAACCCAACCCCCCAAACCCGCCGTCACGTCGCTCTCGTCCTTTCTTTCGCACGCCACCAGTGAGCATTTCAATTTCACTGAATTGCAACATATTTTCACGCGGTTCTCGCTTCTGGCCGTGGGCTTCAACACTGGGAGAAAAGCGTGGCTCGAACTGAAAGGCTCTCGATGAAAACACGATGAACGGATGAGAGAGAGAGAAAGAGAGAGGGGGGCTTTTCATTTTCCATTCCACGCAGTGCTCGGCTGTGGCCGCTGGATGTCGCTGTGTACTGGTGTGGTAGAATTGCGACAGTTGGAGACACTTGACGACTTTGATGATGACGCGGGGGATGACGTTCCCACCAACATGGCGGCTGCCCGGTCCAGCAACTTGTGCCGCAGCAAGTCCGGCTAAAGTGAGCATTTGACGCTTTTCAAAGCATATTGAAGCATTTATGTCATATTTTCTTCTCTATCCCCCCCCCCCCACGGCCCCTCCTACAATAGTCGAGTAAAAGTCGTGTTGACGTGCTGCCCCGTCCCTTGCAAGGAGGCGTTTTCGGACCTTTCGAGCTCAAAACATGTTAGCTTGTTCGGTGGAACTTGTCGACTTTTTGTTGGAAGTTCTTTTTCTCTTTTATTTTCTTTATTGTTTGGCTGGTGGAAGCAAAGAGCGGTGCGTGTGCCTTCTTTGCAGCAAATTTTAAAACGAGCCGATGACGTCGGAGTGTGTTGTGCATTTGTAGCAGGAGTCAAAGTTGTTGTTCAAAGTGTTTGACTGCGGCTTGAGCTCAGGCTTGTAATAGGAGCACCTCTGGGGACCCGCTTCCCTCTAAGTGCCTCCTCCAGTAAATGAAACCGCAGGACGGCGCACACAAGACTGTTCGCACAGGGCACACCCATCTTGTCCCAAACACGCCACTCCACGCCACGCCAGCCCACCGAGACGTGCTGAGAAGGCGGCGGTGTAAAGAAGCCGCGCTGATTGCTTCAAAGAATTCATGCAGGCAGCTGGCAATCGGCGAGGTCGCGCCACCCGTCGTCTTGGAGCGTTAGCCGAGCTCAGCGTTCAACTCCCTGTCAGTAAATAGACAGCAGACGGGCTACCAAGCCGTGACTTTAGGGAGCGGAGCAGGCTTCCAAATGTCCGTGGCTTTGTTGATTTCCAGTGGGCAGTGCGGAGCAGGCCCCGACATCGAGTGAAGACGATTCACTTGCCGCGAGCCTGAGAAAGGCCAGCGGGCGCTTTGCGTTTGTGTGCCATCATGTGACTCGTCTCCGCGGTGGGTGGAGCAAGTGCGTGTCTTCAGGGGGGGCTCGCCAGCCCCCCCGAAGTGAGAGGCTGCGGCCAGGAAGTGAGTAGAGAGAGAGGAGAGAACGAACCAACAAGGTGATTGATGCGAGGGGGGGGGGGGGCTGGCCGGAAGAGTCAAACATGATCGATTTGTTTGCTGCGCAGTCAGCAACGCGCTGCTGGCTTTTGGCGTCCGCCGCTCGGCCTGCCTTCCTCCCCGACTGATGTTTCAGTGGCTGCATTGCTTTCTTCTTCGGCCCGAAATTTCATGTGAATGACTTGACCTTGCGAATTCGGTTCCACCATGTTGTCCGCGACTCGACTATTGTCTTGGTCTTGTTTTGGAGCGTTTACTTGCGGTCGGATTGTTTTGCTGGACTTCCGGCCGGGCCTCCCGGTCCCTCTGCGGTTTCACGTTTGCTAGCCGGCGTCGGCTCCCGTTACGCCCTCGGGGGGCAGGCTCGGGTCAGCGGTCCGCCTCGCCTCCCCCGGGCGGGCCCCCTCAACGAAGCCCACCCGCGGCGGCCGTCGTCTTTGGAGCTCCCGGACGAGGACTCGGTACGCGGGCTCCAGGAAAGAAGGAGTTGCGCGGGCGGGCGGGGCGCGCGCGCTGCCGCATGCTCATTCCACTTTATTTGACCCATGCAAACCAAACCAGCGTGTCAGTCATACAAGTAGAAACATACAAAGTACACGTGTCAATATGCCAAAGACGCCGTCGAAGACAAAGTCTTTTGGGAAGAACCCCGAAGCGCCGCTTCTCGCCATTTTGGAGGGCGGCGCAGGGGGGAAATTGCAGGAAGGGGGGGAGGGGGGGCAGGGTTTCCGCGCCTCCAAAAAGTTCCGCAGGACGCCGGCCGTCGGCGCCCAGTCGCCAGCAGGGCAGCCGGGGACTGCGTGCGCGTGCGTGCGTGCGTGTGTGTCTAAAGCCCCTCCCTCCTCGGATTCTGGCTCTGGCCTGGCAGGTTTCTTCGGGTCAAGCGCGACCAGACCGATGTCACGCTTTGTCTTCCGTCACATCTCGACTTCTTCTTTTTCTTCTGCTAGCGTTTGTGCTTTTCCATCTCGTCCTCGCTGCTGCGGGGGGAGCTTAAGACGCCACTCGTGCCCCGCGCTCACTGCTGGAGCTCTGCGCGGACACACACACACACACACACACACACACACAGCACTTTGAGCATTTGTTGCATGGTGATCCTCGATCTTAAGGTGGACGATGTACTCGGATGCCAAGATTGTCCTTCAACGTTGGCAACGGCGCGTCGCTCGTGAGGCAAAGCCGTACGCGAGCGCAAGAAGCGGAGACTTGGCAAATTCTACCCGCCAGCACTTGACTCGTCACGCCGGTGGTGCGCCGATGTCAACTCCTGCGCCGTTTTTGCCTCACGAGCGACTTGTCGTCATTCCGCTCGCTCGCACGCTGGATTGTCAAAAGTGAGCCAGTCGCCGTTCACTAAATTCTCTTTCGTGTTCGGACAAAGCTCAAGGTGAACATGACCTTGGCAGGTCCAAATGTGGTCCAAAATGTTCTCAAATGGAAACGAGTGCTCACTTTCCCCCCGCCCCCCCCCACACATTTGGTTTGGGCTGCCCCACTTGGACCGATGCTTGCTCTCTTTGCTGACGCTGCGGCTCACCAAACATGATGCTTTTGTTTTTCTTTCTTTTGAAAAGCTTTTTTTCCCACCCAGAAGCCACGATTTGGGCGACGGCGACGGGCGTTGACGCGGCGAGGGCCGTACCGATGGTGAAGACGATGAAGACGATGACGACCACGCCCAGCAGCATGGCCAGGAGGCTGAGCAGCAGAGACAGGCGGCCGTACTTGCGCGCCGCCTCCACGTCGCCGTTGTTCAGCACCGAGCGGGACTGGCGAGGGGGGGGCACAAGCCACAGGTCAGATGTCAGTCGCGCGCGCTCTACTCAAGTACCGGCGCACAAGACCGCGGAAAGGTATCGCTGCCGTGCCGGGAGCCCACCCCCGCCCCCCGACGTGTACGACGGCTGCGGCGTTTCAACGTGAAAGGTTCGTCGTCGGAAGGGGACGATTTTCAGGTTTGAAAGTTTCTCGCGATAAGGCGGACTACGTTTGAATGGGATAAAGAAACGTCAAGTCTTTCTTCTTCCAACGTGGCACGTTTCCCGCGGTGTCGAGCGATGCGTTCGGGGTTGTCGTTCGAATGTTGACAAATTTCACGTGAAAACCTGCAAAGTTTTGCTCGCGCACTGGGCGACCAAAAGGAAGCGCCTCCTCTGGTTCTGGAGACCACCTCGGAAGTCCCAAGTTACTCGCTTCGGAACTGTGCCGCTCTTCTAGAATACCAGCAGAAAAACAAAAAAACCCACTCAGGGCGTGTGTTTGAAAAGCTTGAAAAGAAGAATTCAGGGACAGCGACACCGTCGTCGTGCCGGCCAGCCCGAGCGCTTCCTTTTGTTTCCTTGCCCGGGGAGGG